TATATAGATCGATTGTTAATAAAACCAAAGTTTTAGATGTACGAATTCCAATAAAATACAGAAATTTTTTGAGAATTTTTTGAGAATGTTAATATCTTCGTTTATTAAAAATAATACTTCCCATCTCAATAAATCATACGGTCACGATAACTACGTACAATCTGAAATTGATATTTTATGCAATTATTTTTTTTTGCATTGCAGCGAGCAATTTGTTAAAATTATTTAAGTTGAATAATGAAACTCGATAATTTGGAGTGTGCAATGTTATATATACCTACAAAACGCGATACTTTAATTATAAAGTTGCGGAAAAATATGATCTTGTTTTTTTAAATGAAAATGGTTCCTCAGAAATATATCAGCATAAGTATATTAAATCAGAGACATTTCGTAGCGCACTTATCTTACATATTGATTTTGAGATTTCCCCTGCTAGGAAAAATATTTAATATAATTAATATTTAATATGAAAAATATTTAATATTCAGCTGATACTTGTAAATCTTACATATGATAAAATATAAGATACACAGATTAACTTGCGAGTAGAACGGAAAACCTTGGGAATATATATGAAATTCTGTCAAGAGACATTTTGGAGATAGATTTTAGAGGTGATTAATCTAGAATCGTTTTATGACGACTCCATTATTGCACATTTTGCACGTATGCTCTTATACAACATGTTTTTCTCGAAATAAAATATTCCTGCTAGAAATTGTGCCAGAAATTTCCCAGATCACTCGTGTATTATCCTTTATCTCTAAATTATACTTGCGTAAAATGCATGTTATTAACTTGTCGCTTCGTTCATGTAATTAATTACTTTTGTTAAAAGGCGAATAATTAAAATCATGCAATGACAAGCGGCAGCCAAGCGATGAACAAGCCGAAATAAAATATTTTTATCGACAGTTTTTTTTATTAGCACGTTAGTTTTTTTAAAAATTCGTCGTTCACGTATGTTTCTCATTATTAAATTTACGAGCAGTACATTCTGAAATCAAATAAATTCTGCATGCTCTTGATGTGAAATTGCATGGAAATTTGTTTTTCTGTATGAGCAACTCTTTGGCACCTAGTTATGGCACTGTTAAATATTATATATTTTTACGTTTCTATTTCTGAAATATTTCTGATTCTATATTCTGGTCTAAATTTACTTTTACTCGTTGCTTTCACTGTATATAAGTAATACTCGTATAATCAGTTTTCTTCTGCACCAGCACTTTTTATTTTTATTTAAGTATTCTACTCAAATATATTATGTTATAAATAAATAACTTTTGTTTTACAGAATTTAATATTAAATATGTCTAGCAATAATTGAAATTATTAATTTAATTTAATGTGTATTACAGAAAAAGGAACGAATTAAAAATTGTTTTTTTTTTTTATCAAAGTTTAATCTTTATATTAATTATTCTAAAATGTTCTACAATATACGCGCGCGCGCTAATGTTATATTATTCTTAAAAGAGTGTAATCATTCTTTTTATAATAATCGTTCTCAATTATATTATCGTTATCGCAAAATGATGAACAAGATAAATATATCTCATTGTTATAATTTACTTAACACTTTTAATATTTCACACGTGCGAAAACGTAATGAAGGAATGTATTTTTGCTTATCATATATATGATATATTTATTTATTTTATGCAACGTAATAACAGATTTAGGATTTATGTAAACGGGTATATAGAAATTAATACATACTTATACAATATTAACACAATGTCTCTTTTCCATTGCATAAACAAAACATTTAGATGAAATACAGCTAAGAGTCCAGTCTATAGATAGAATAGTATAGTTATAAATAGAAGTATGTATCGCAAACATAGGATACATAGTCTCTAGTGGAATATACGTGTAATAAAATAAAATATTAAAATATTTGACAAATTTATTATATACTGATTGTATATTTAAATGTACATTTAAATATTTTTTTAGAAAGAAATCCATGCTTTAAATGCGTTAATCTTTATTAATATAATAATTATGTGTCACATTAGATTTTTTGAATATGTAAAATTACACGATATTCTAATGATAATTTTTCTGATGTTTAACGATATACTCGCGAACGCAATTATGTCGTCTTTGCTTTACAGCCTTAATCATCTCATCTTTTCCCATGTACACTTTTCAATGTGCAGTGACCTACATTTCCTCTCGTGCCGCTTTCTGTGTCATTTACCGATTCTTAATAAATATAGATTGTTGAAAGTAAGCAAGTTAGCACGTTGGTTATCGTCCGTGAACGACGTTTGTGCCTATATCGGAGAATCGGCTACTTTGTGACAGGTGTATTTGTTTTCGAGGAATGCAGTAGCCTTTGTGTTTGACGTTCGTTCTTTGCCATTAATTATACTTGATACGTCCAGTCGATTCGACGTTCCTGATAACGATAAAAGTGGTTTGGATTCTCTCGCTACGAACAATCGATTTGGTAGAAAGAGAAAGAGAAAGAGAGAGAGAGAGAGAGAGAGAGAGAGAGAGAGAGAGAGAGAGAGAATGTATGTGTGTATGTATGTGGATGGATGTGGATGGATGTGGATGGATGTGGATGGATGTGTGCGAGATAGAGCTACCAATTAT